TTACGCAAGCTCATTTCTGAGTAAAATCAGCATGAACCGAAACCAGTAAACCCAGTGGAGGAAGGAAAAGGACATCTATCTGATTGAAAACCAGAAGTGATGTGCTGCTAATAAGATATGCATCAAATGGCACCAGCAAATGCAAAAAACAAACAATAAAAATCTGCTTCTGAGGGAATCTAAGCGCCGCATTTACGCTCTGCTCCCGCTACCAATTAGTGTTAGATCAATTCAATCAGACATAAATCTGCTAAACATGAAATATGATGATCAACACATGCAATCAATGTTTCACTTATTATAGATTCACCTTTCACTCCAAATGCAACCGGCGGGTCACATGTTTCAGTGTCAGAGTGAAGTTTACAGCTGACACTAAAAGCATCCTTCATGCATTCAACTGTTATTTCTGTTGGGTTCAAAGAGCAAAGACGGTGGCACTGCCTTATTCATAAACCTCACATGAAAAGAAACTCTCAATAACCAAACTTCCACCACATCCTGTTTTATCGAGATGCACGCTACAGCCTGAGCCCGAGCACTCTGAGGCCTCTGAAACCCCCCAGCAGCAGCGCTGAACGCCCATCTCTAAACGCTTCAAAGGAAGAGAAAAAACAGGGGAAAGCCGCGTCATTTCAATCGGAAAGGGGCTTTGGTCTCGTCTGACGGCCTGCTAACAGCGGCTGCTCGCTAACAGCATGGATGAAGGCGGGTGTTCATGTCAAGAGCTGCAGTATTCTGACAGAGCAGCTGCACTGCGACCCAGCAGCAGCAGCAGCTACTGGAAACGTTTGAAACAAACTGCGGCGTCCAGCTATCAGTCAGAGAAGCCTGGGAGCCGATGACAGACATGAGAGGAAACGCTGTGGAGCACAAACCGTGGAAAGAACACATTACCAGCGCTTTCTACTGGCCTCTGACCCATAAGCTGCTTTAAAAAACACTGAAAGTTTCAGGCAACCAGTGGATCCACCTCCTGGATAAACTAACGATTCATTTGCTCATCAGTTAATCTCTCAATATTTAATCAAACAACTAGCGAAAGGTTCCTTTTATACAAAATATAAACAAGGTGAAGTTAAAAAAAAATGCAACTTGATAAGTTCTGGAAGAAGCATACTGACTAGTTTTCATTTTGAAACTGAAATGTTTAAATATTTTTTACAATTTTGGTTTAATTAATGCTCTGTGCGGCTGGCTCTTTCATGCAGAATCTCTGTACTGTACGATTACAAGGCTAGTCGCAAATTATTTCAATAATTGATTAATCTAATTAATAGTTTCAGCCTTAGATAAATCTTAAGATAAACCAATACATGGGCCGATAGGCCAATATTTGTGTGTTTTCCTTGGTTGGCTGATTTATCAGTGCCTTCAGATCACATAAAATGCATGTAAACCGTTTCCTCAGTTTCACATCCATTGATAATGTTTTGTAAGATTCTTTTTTATAAGTTTCTGTTGAAATTGAGACCTCTGTAACATTTGTTACCATTGATTCATTTGTTTTTATTCATGTTAATGGGGAATGGCATGTTCTGTCAGACCAGCATACCCATAGTCAATACGCATGCACAAGACGTCAGATTTGTGTTTATCCCTTTAGTTTTGTATGAAAAATAGACTTCAAACTACCACAACGAGCATATATATCCCTTTATAATAAAAAAAATTAAGATCAGATCACCATACGTTTAAAAAAACATCAAAGAGTAAGTAATTAAATAGTTTTTTTGAACATGACTGAAGGGATACACGCCCGTTGTGGTGGTTTAAAGTCTATTTTTCATACAAAACTTAAGGGATAAACTAAAAGGATAAATGGGTATTGACTATGGCTATGTTCATCTGACAGAACAGCGGCCTAGAGTTTAGGGAAATAATCTTTTTTTTTTTTCCCACTTTTATCCATGCACATGGGCATTGTCAGTTTCACTATAGCTCTGGTGAATTTCAATGGTGAAGTCCTCTGGAAATCTTCAATAATTGTTGTTGATTGCAGATGTGTCTAGTAGTTCCCATTGATTTAGCTTGTAAAGCGGGGAGAATGGTGCTAGGCTTACCGCACCGTGACGTCACTGCTGGTGTTCTGTCAGATCAGCATACCAATACTCACTAAGCATGCGCAACATGTCGGATTTCCATTCCTTCATACTAGTCCACATTATTCCTTTAGTTTAGCCCCATTTAGTGCTTTAGTTTTAAAACGAAAAATAAACTTTAAACTACCTCGATGGGCAAGTATCCATTTAGTCTTGTACAAAAAAACAATTTAAGGTCAGATCGCCGTACGCTTCAAAAAACATCAAAAAGTAAGTAATTAAATAGTTTTTTGTACATGACTAAAGGATAAACACCTGCTAAGTTGTTTAAAGTATATTTTTCATACTAAACTAAAAGGGATATACGGGTATTTACTATGGGTATGCTGATCTGACGTCACTGCGGGAAGATGTCAGGATTGAGGTGTTGCTATATCTGTGAACGTATTCATTTTTAGGTATAAATAATGATCCATTGATTGTTCCTTGCTGATCAGACTTTTCCTTTAAAATTAAAGCAGCTATAAAAACAGAAACCTCCTCCTGTTGACTCTTTCATGTCAGTTCCTCATCAGAGGCACCTTTTCAAATCAAACCTAGACAGACATTAAATAACCTACATCCTGTTGTGGGAGTCACCATCTACACTGGAAAAAAAATCTAAATCTAGATAAGACATTTTTTCTTAAAATAAGTGCATTTGTTCTTGGAGGTAACAGAGACATTGCCAATGGAACAAGAAAATTTACATTTAAAATAAGATAAAACAATTGCATTGTCTTATTTTGAGTGCATGTTATCTTATTATCTTATTTTAAGCAGAAAAATATTCATTTAATTGGCAAACTCATTTACCTACTCAAATTAAGGGTAAATACCCTTGATTTTAGAAATTACTTATTTCTAGATTGTTTTTCCAGTGTAGTAGAAACGTTGACGATATTCTTGTTATTCTGTTGATTTTTGTAGGATTCAAAACTACTAACACTATCCACAGACCATGCATCCCTTCTATAAACTTGTATGAATGTAATTTCTTAAGAAAATAATTGAAAATGTGCCAGAAAAAAACAGGAGGACAGAAAGCAGTGTAAGCCAAGAGAAGCTGAGTTGGCCCATTAAAAAACATGCAAATCATGTAGTGGATGTTTCATTTTACGGTGTCTGGCTGCAAGAAAGCAGAGCTGCATCATTGTTTACAGAAAACTGAAGAGAAAAAAAAAGGTTTTGGTCTATTTTAATTAGTGTTGCACCGATACTGATACCAGTATCAGACCGGGCACAGATCCTGCAGTAAAGACAGGCATACACTGTGCGATTTTTTTGCCCTTTTCAGCGACTTTCCTGTCATGCGAGAATTTATTGATCGGGCCAACTTTCAGCGTGATCGTGCATCATGTAGTGCCCAGGAAGTAACGAGGGGCGATCAGCCTCTAACAATCGCCTCCTGATCAGGACTCGCAAGCTCAGGAGGTTTTCTCCCGACTGTCGTGGGAAAATCGCTCAGTATACAAACAAGGATTCTTCTTCTTCTTCCTCTCAGATGAAAAGACGGAGGCAGGGGGTTTGAGTAAAATGGAGTTCTTTCTATAAAACTAGCAGACCGCAGTAGCCACGTATGCTCAGCCATTTCTTTGTTCAAATATGTTGTCGCCTTTTCTTTTTAGGGCTTTTAGCACAAAAATGCTGATGGAATAACAGCATCAGAGCAAATGACTTAAAGAAGCTTAACAAGCCGTTAAAGAAGGTCAGCTGTGTTCTAGAAGCTCCTCTGGAAACTCAGGAGATGATTTTACAAGAAGTGAAGAACATTATGGACAACAGACAGCATCGTCTTCAGCAGACTGTTAAACAACAACAGAATGTCTTCAGTCAGAGGCTTCTCCAGATCAGATGCAAGACAGACCTCTACAGAAGATCCTTCCTGCCTACAGCTATCAACTACTACAACAACTCAATTTTTAAAATAAAAATCCCATGATTTACTGCAACATTTGATTTTTGTGTGGGTTTAAAAAGTATTTTTGTAATGAATAAATATTTAAATGTATAGATTGAACTGATGTTTATTTACAGTAGCAGCAACAGGCGTCTGCAGCACAGCTGAGCAAAGTTACGGAGTATTTACTATAAGGTCGATTGGCAGGTGGTCTGAGAGGGGCGTGAAAGAAGCCAGATTTCTTAAGAAAAACTAACCTTAAAAGGGGGGGGACCTCAGATTTTAGCTTTCAAAAACCTACAATGCAGCTATAGAGTTTATTCCTTCCTGTTATCATCATCCAGGCCAACAATTCCCCCTAATGACCCCCCTTTCAGAGGCATAGACCAGTATTGAGTATTGCAGCCTAACAAAGAACCCAAACGACTCCCCATTCTTAAGGGGCGGACCCGTTATTCTGGTTCCCTGAGCTTTCGTCGTACGGTGTGAGCTGCGTACAACAATTTCATAAAATATTAAAAATCGCAGTGTATTCCCGGCTTAAAATGGTGGTATCGGTATCGGCAAGCATAACAAATAGGGCCCCGACACCTCTTAGGGAGCCAAAAGTTTATTCAACTATTGTCACCCATTCCAGGTAGGCAATAAAAAGTTCTACTGGATTAACTTTGTATTAGACTTTTTCCTGCTTCACAAAGGTAGGCAGCAGCTTGACGAAGCCATGATGGCAATTAATTTACATCCAAGTAGGATGCAGTTCCTCATATATTCACACACATCAATTTCAAACACATAGTATCGGTATTGGCTGATACTGCACAGCCAGGTATCGGTATCGGGGCCAAAAAAAGGAATCGGTGCAACACTTCTATTAATGCATCCCTTTCCTTTGTGAACCAACGTGGAGCAGAGGCAGGTTTGACAGTAAACACGCCTCCTTCCTCCTCCATGGCTCCACAGACTGACCATTTTAAAAGCAACAATCAGTCAGCATCGCTCAGCCTCGCTGATGAGCTTACCTGGGCTCAGGGAGGATGATCTTCTTACTGGCGCGTGCCGCAGGAGTAGATTTGCTCTTCTCCATCGCCATCAAGTAGCTGACATCGGCGAGCACCGCTTCCAGGTCCGCCATGTTTCCACCCTTTGGACGAACAAACTAGTAGAACAATCAGGCTTCCTGTGGTGCTTTTTAAAAATTATTTAGGAGGGATTAAAAAAAAGTGTTTTTTGTTTGTGTTCCTTCTAGCAGATGCCGGGTGGGGGGGTGGTAAAGGGGAGGGGGGGTCTGGAGGAAGCGGAATCGTGTCTCTCTGTGGCTGCTAACCACAAGCCACCATCATTTAGAAATAAGAAATAAAATCATGCAGGAGGTGGGTGGGGGGGCATTCAGGTGGACGGGGGTCAACAGATGAGATCAGGCGGTGAGCTGCAGCCTCTGTCCGGGGGGGGGGGCTAGTTCCGTTAGGGGACAGCTGTCAAATCCTGCGCGTCTCCCGGGATTCCCTGCTGAAAACCGCGTCCAAAGGATCGGTTCTGGTCCAGGTCCTCATGGGGTTTCACTCCTCGGTCCTCCTGCCCCTTCAGATGGTGAAATTGTTTCACTTTTAGTGAAATGTGCACAATTGTGACTCGATCGCTTCTTTGGCCTCACGGCAAACAAACAGAGACACGTGTGGCTCGTTTTGCTCAAAGCATCACATTTAGGAGGGAGGGGGGTGATTTCCAGGAGGCCTTCTAGGACGGGGTTTAAACAAAAATAGATGTTTATCCTAAGCGGTTGTTGGTACAGATGAGCCCGGGCGGTCTGACGGTGAAAAACGGGCAGCAGTCATGATGATTTCAATCCTTCAGGGTTTCTTGTCCTTTTTTTCTCTCGCTTCCTTCCTGTTACGGTTGAAGTTCTCCGCGCGCGGCGCACAAATCACGCCAAAGATACTGTTGGTAAAAAAAAACACGCGGATAAAAACACCTTCAGCGGTTTTTTTGCTCTAAAATCCACAGCGGCCCCGATGAACTAATCACAGCCCAAATCCACGCGCCGTGGAGCTAACGCGCTGTAGCCTCCTGCCGATGTTCGGGTGCTAGTTAGCCAGGATGCTAGTTAGCTGAATGTGAAGCTGTTAGCCAGGAGGCTAAAGAAGCAGCCAGGCTTCATTAAAATGTTCCCCCAGGATCAGCCGACTGTCTACCGCAGGCTGGTTGGCTAACAGCGGCGCTGCTCCCAAACCATGCCGCAGTTTGCCTAAAATAAAGCCGCTAACGGCTGCTTCCGTCTCCCTGTTATTGGGGAAGTCTGGCTGCACTTCCGAGGAACAGCCCCCCGCGGTCCGGGAACTCCGGGAGAAAAATATCAGTAAAGATAATAAAAACAGTCCATGGCTGGTTGAGGAGCTCCAGGAGCCAGCGCATAGAGGCAGTCTCTGGGCTGGCGGGGACCGGGGGAGGAAGGCAGGCAGCGCGGCGGTGAGCCCAGGTTAATGACCGTTAAGGCGGCGATGGTTCAGGATGCGGCTGGATTCCTTCAGCACCGAATAAAGAAACACTATTCCACCTTTTTTTGGAGGGGGAATCTCCTCAGAAGAAGTAAAAGCAGGTCGTTGTTTCAGCCAGTGTGCGGTTCCTGCTCTCAGGCTGTCGGTGATCGGGGAGCCTCTCTCCCCCCCCCTCTCTCTCTCTCTCTCTCTGCCTGAGGAGCAGCAGTCTCCCTCCGCTGCCTCAGTCCACGGAGCCCGCTCCTTTAGGTTAAAGGTGTCGTCCCCAAGTACAAATATGACACATGTTCGTTTAAAGACCCTCCTTGCTGTACATTTATCTATCTATATGTTTTTATTTATTTTTTTATTGCTAACACGGTAGCGCCTCTACTCGGTTTGACTTCCTCTCCCACTGCGGCGGGGAGAGAAACGTAAAACATGGAGCGGATCAGTCTGGGGAAGGGGCCGGAGCTCGGTGCTTGGAGAAGGAAGCGTTTGTTTTTTCAGACCCCCTCCCTCCTGGCAAACATTCATGGACGGTTCTAGAGGGGGGGCTACGGGTGGCAGCATAAGCGTCGTTAGACCTATTTAAGGGTGGCTTCAGCCACCCTTTCTTTGGCATTAGCCACCCTATAATTATTTTGCGATTTTAAAAAATATATTTTTTTTTCTGTAGTTATTTTTTCCTCATATTTTCCCAAAACAAATGCAGTAAAGCACCGAATAAAGAAGACAAGTTAATCTGAACAATCATAGGCGTAACTTCCTTAAGGACTGGTGTGGACATGTCCCCACCAATATTTTGTACACGTATTTTGTTTTCGGTGCTGAGTATATCTGATTAAAACCCCATTCATGCCGCTCCTCAGAAAGAAAATAAAAAAGTTCTCCCCGCTGCTCACCGTCCACAAACCCCGACAAAAAAACTCAGAAAAAAGAATCTGTTGCCTCTCGCTTTCTCCCCATCACCCCCCTCCAACCTCTCCCCATAACATTTGAATTGAAGATATCCACGGGTGACGGGTCGGGTTCGGTAGTCATCCTAACGGGTTCGGGCGGGTGCGGGTTGGTAAAACTCGACCCATGCAGGTCTCTAAGCTACACTACATTCAGTATCGTTGCCATAGAAACAGACAGCAGCGCCAATATATCAGAATTATACTAAAACACACGCAAATAATTTCCCACATAAAAAACAGGACTTTCAGTCCATTACAGTTTTCCGTTTTTAGAGGGTTGTTTATTTTGCGTTTATTAAGTGATGGCTGTGGTATATTAGCTTTCACTGCTATAAGCTTTCGCAGCAGTGATTGATTAATTTAAACACCTGCTCTACTGATGGTCTATCGGAGTTGGTGTTTAGGTTGAACATAAAGAACACCTTTTATTTGAAGCTTCTTGTAGCTACTGTTTTAATCCCGGCTTTACTTAAAACTTTTTCCTGACTTTGATAGTGTTGCCATTAGGGGTGGGTATTGCCAAAGAAGTCACGATTCGATTCGAATCACGATTCATAGGCCACGATGCGATTCTATCACGATGCATCACGATACTTGAATTATTGCGATGCATTGCAATATTTTCTCCTCCATGTTTTGTTTTTGAATGACTCGGCACAGTATCCCACGGCCGGAAATGCTTGTGACACAAGGCAGCGTGCGTCAACACATTTGCAGCGACATCTTCTGGACTGGAAGTTGTGTTACACTTGTTTTTGGCTGATGTTCGCCAACCATTCATGCAATTTTATTTATTCATTTTTTAAAATTAATAATCGATTCTTGGCATCAAGAATCGATGCAGTAGATCACGAAAATTAGAATCACGATGCATCATCGTCACGATTATTTTGCACACCCCTAGTTGCCATTCAGTAGCAAGCACTGCGCCCCTTTTTCTTTTATATGTACACGTACATTTAAGATTTAGCGTGTTAAGTTGACAACTCATGAGCAAGCTGCTTTTTGCAATCTAGCAGAAAGGTAAGGATAGGATCTTGCAGGTGTGACGTCACTCTGCAGGGGGTCCAAAGATAAAAGATTTAAACAATTTTGGCATTGGAATTTCAGATTTAAGGGAGTTAGAAAGTTCACTTAGTAAAAGTGCAAATAATAAATCTGATTACCGATTACTTTTAAGCTGGTTGAACATACTGCGACAGACTGGTGACCTGTCCAGGGTGATCCCACCTCTCACCCAGAACGTGGCTAGAGATATGCACCAGCACCTCCTGATCCCACTGAGGGATAAGGTTAAAGAAAATGGATGGTTGAACATAGTCCGCTCTCCCAGATTCTATCAAATCAGTATTGATACCCTCAGGGGCGGATTTAGGAAATTTGGGGCCCTAGGCAAAGACAGGCAGGGGGCCCCCTGAGAAGAAAACCCATAAAACAGACCCATTCTACAGATAGAGAAATGTTAATAGAATAGACATCCATTATTTGTTCTAGGTTTTGTCCCTCTCTTCTTGTCCCTTTTTCCTCTCTATTTATCAGCGTTCTGATGGCATTTTAGCCAAAGGATTTTTATCAAAAACATAATTAATGAGCACAAATAAGGATTAGTTGTATTAACCATACATGGAAACAGAGTTTTATGGGGCCCCCAGAACTTGGGGCCCTGGGCAACTGCCTAGTATTGCCTAATGGTAAATCCCCCCCTGGATACCCTGCTAGTGGATGTTCTTGACAGAAAGATGGAGTTGCTTAATCATATTCTGCTTAAGGTCCCATAAGATCTTGTCCGAGTCCTGGTTTAAAAGTAAATTAATTTTAAAAAGTGACCCAAAATTGACCATCAATAAATGTTCTACAAAATTGATATATTTATTTGATTTCTTTGATTTGTACTGTCTGTTTAGATTTATGTGATATTTTTTGCACAAAATATATAAGTGAATATTGTAACAGTTATGTTTTCAACTATAAGCATTAAATTGATAAATGTTATTCGCATTTTTTTGGCTTTATCCTTTCCAACAAAAAAAAAAAGGCGTCGCGCAGGTAGCTCCCTTTCCTTATGAGCCGTCCCCACCAACTTTCAACACAAAGTTACACGCTTGTCTTAGACAACGCCTTAGCAGGTGCACTGAAAAAATTCGGCGTGCGCTACGCGCGCGCATTATCTTCTGGGGGCTGAGCCACCCTTGTCTCTTAAACCTAGAGACGCCCCTGGGTGGCAGTACCCCCTGTGACAATTACCGTTTTTTCAACCCACAAGAACTCGAGTACAGTTCTCGCCATGTATGATATTGAGAAGAAAACAGCATCAATCGGGGTCAATTGGAACAGAATCGTACTGATGACATCACCACACACTCTGCTCATCTGGAGCTGCATTTTATCTCCTGTTATTAATAGTCTCTAGATGATAATAAATGATAACTTTTTCATTTAGTGGGGGAATAATAATGAACATAGTCAGATAAACACCAGTCAAATGAATAGTTTGCCAAATAAAACAAAAAAAAAACAGCGGTCCTTCACACACCTATGCAGAGAGAGGGCTGCTGCAGACGGGCTGGGGTTAGACCTGGCTGCTATTACCCTCGGAGCTCCGCTGGTTGCCACGGTCCTCTCAACAATTTTTTTTTTTTTTAATTACGCATTAAATCGGTAAATGGGCCATATAGTGACGCTTTAAAGTGTATTATCGCCTCAAAATATCTTAAAACTTACTTTTACTGAACAAAAGCAACAAAAAACGTATCTGTTGGATAAACTTTACATATACAAGTGCACTCTCACAAACAACTACAGGTGCTTGGCTCCAGGTACTCAGAGATTCACTTCCATACAGAAAGCCCATATTCTGATCTTCAGATACCGCATTATACGTGTTTAGATAATACTACTTATACTTCAGCAATAGTATCAAGGTGCTACTTCATTGTATCTCGCATTCTATATCCGTTGGTTGTGCTGTTCTTTTTACATCTCTTTGCAGGTGATGAAGCAGACTGAGGATGTTTTATCATTGTCTTGCCTTTATCTCCTCTTTCTTTCATCTTTTCTCCTTTTTCCTGTTTTTCCTTTCCTGTTTTACTTACATTCCACTGTCCAGAAAATCTCTAATACCCCCTGGATGAATTATAACAAAGCTATTTATATGCATAAATCAAGGGGAACATTATGGCGATAGCCGTACTGCTCCACTTATGAAAGTAAAATCTGTTGGGCTCTCTTTTGGCATCAAGACAATTATTCTTATTACCACATGGCCAGACAGGACGCTGAGAAAATAAATAATAATAAGGTTTGTAACATTTTAATAGGTCTGGATAAATGTCCTCTAAAATCAAACCTTTGCTTTAATGAAAGATGGAGGCTGTTTTAGGTATGAAGTTATAAATATTTTGTTGTGTTATTCTGTTAGATTATACTACAACATGGTCAATCATTTGAACCTTAAAAAAACAAATGTACAAATATTAATATATTAGTTTGTTTAGAATTTTAAGTGAATTTGAGTTTGAAATGCACTTTTTAAATATTGCAGGATATTAACGGGATTTTCTGTTCAATTTCATTCTAAATAAAAGTGGCTTTAAAGGTAAATTTACAGGTTCCTCCCTACTATTTTTAGGCCCTGTGCTATCACTTGTGTTTATTGGATTAAAAGACCAGAAGTGTGATTTCTCCCAAAGAATAAGATCACAAAAGGTAAAAGAAGAATAAACCAGTTGGGGAAGAGACTGGTTAATTGTTATTATTCTTATTATAAAAAATCTGATTCATAATATTGATTAATGTAGCAGTTTAACAACATAACTGTCAACCTTAACTGAAATTATAATGTGAATGAAGGTCCCCAGAATAAACTGATGGTCCTGTCCCCATCCTTTGGTCGGCAAATGTTAGCAAATCTCTCAAACTTATTAAAATGTATTTGAAACAATCAATTTTTTAAAACTTTGTAAACATTTGAGATACAAAAATGAAATATTTAAACAAATATTTAAAAAGGTCGGCTCCATAAACAGCCAAACTAAATAATAAAACAAGCGGGTTAAAGAAGACATGATTTATATCAAAACGACGTTTACATTTAGTTATTTTTAATGTGAACGGTGAAAAGTTGTATTTTTCCGATTGTTGAAAAGATGTTGAAAACTGGGTTTGCAGCACTGAAAAAATGAACAGAACCATTCTTGGCATTTACTTCATAAATCATATTTAGTTACTTTAACTCAGTTGTTTCATGTTAGCAGGGTAGGACATTAAAATTTTTGTTAAAGTAACTAAACATGATTTAGTAAATGCCAAAAGCGATTGCATCATTTTTTTCAGTGAACCTCTTTTTGACGTGTATTATTGGACTAAAGTTGGACAAAATCAGACCAACCAAACAAAGCCCAATTTTCCATAATGAGTTTTGGACTAAATCAAGACAATGATGGACCGACCAGATTTAGCCTTAAAAACAA